TATGATTAATAGTATAAAGTGATTGAATATGATGATTTAATATTCTTCATTATATTGTTAATCAAAATTGATGATATGAAAATTGTTGATTTACATCTGTATATTTTATAAAAAAATAATTGTTTATTGTAAATTATTTAATAAAATTCAAATATTTTTTGTTTAATTTGTAATCATATTTTGGATCAAATTATATTTAAGAAACTAATCAAAAGAATTTATTCATAATTCATGAACCTTAATTAATTATAATAGAAATCAAGTTTTTTATAATATTTTTAAATAATGAAAGTGAAATTTATATTTATATAAAAAAATCTTATCTGTTAAGATATATACTGCGTATAAAAAAGTAATGCGCAAGAATTTTTTATTCTTAGAAATAGTTCAAGTATTAAATAGTGTGCAAATTTATTAGATATCTATTTATATTTCATAAAAATTATTATTTTTTCTTTTCATACTGTTCAGGATTGAACTACCTATCAAAAAAAATTTATTGTCTGTTATAATACGATTCTGATACATTATATTTAGATTAAAGCGCAATATTTAAATTATACGTTACGAAAAATTCACTAGAAATTTAAGCCGCATACTTTGTCCGCATAGCGACAAAAGAATCTCCTCGAACGTACTAAAGCTTGCTTCCAGAGAATTCTCCAGAGCCCCCAAGAATTTACAACACTAAATGTACGCAATCGTATATACGAAGCAACGAATGGAGAAGGAAATCAGTCTTGTTGAATAAATCAAGTGAAATTAGTGTCAGTCATATCAGTGAAAGTTGAACTCATGTGAGGGAATCCGTGCAATGTATATTCATTTGTTTATATTGATTATTCTATTATTGCTGGCCAGCTACCGGTGCGTCCTCCGCAACGTGATGATAGTCAGACTGCATTGAGGACGACAACATAGACTGGCATTTCCAGCAAATTTATAGTATACATGTAGTATATATACTACATGTACTTTTCGCGGCCCACGTCTACACTATCGGTTAGGCCCTTGCAACTTGATTCTTATCAGACCGCTAAATAGGGCGCCGATACTGACTAGTGGTCCCCACAAAATCATTACTGTGGCACTGCGATTATTTTATCGGTCACGCCGCAACGAGTTGGTTCTGATCAAACCACAAAGGACGGCGTCGACAATCCGTAATAGTCCCCACTACCTTCACGAGTCGAATCTTGCTCAGTAAAATCTATCGCCGATTCAAATGCCTAAGCAGTCGCGAGCCGGACAATGCTCAGTACAATTCTAGCGCCGATTCAAGCGACTAGGCATTCACGAGCCGAACAACGAGCCTCTAATTTTATCACCGAATCGAACGTCAAGTATTCGCGAGCCGAACAACGCGCCGTAAAACTGATTACCATCAAGGAAGTCGCAAGCCCAACGGGGCTGTCCGAAAAGTCATGGTCGAATCTAATGTTTAATGATTCTCGAACTGGAGAGACTCCTTTAATTTAGGGACTAAAGCACGTGCCCAGTACTCCCAATTTACCTTTTTAGACTTGCACTCCCAGATGACGTTCCAACTTAATGGCTAACTGCCTAATTACTGCAAACTCAACAATTCTCACTACAATCAGTAACACCAACATCACTGTAACAACTGCTTAAATAAAGATCACGAAAAGCAATTGTGTTTACTTTGAATTAATGCATTAATCTTTCACTCATACCCCCCCCCCCATCACCATTAAACCGATGGTACGGTCTAATCCATCCACTGTGATCTGTGATCAGACTAGTGGCTGGAATTTCAAACACATATATTAAAAAATATATTTTTATACATTTAGTTAAATTATATAGCATTATTGTGCTTAAAGGTAACTTCATTTAACTCTGTAGGGACCTTCTTTAAACATATATTAATCGAAAATTCTAAATATAACTTTTGTCCACAATAATTTTTTTTAAATACTACAAAATTACTAAATTTTGAATTGTGTATTACAATCATTTACGTCTACGCTGAACTAAGTATTATAACGTTAAGCCTTTCGACTCCAAGAATTTCATCCGATACAGCAAAATTGTTTTTTGAGTTGCTTATACAAAATAACATATTTTATTTAAAAAATCTTTTCAAAAAATGTGAAAACAAACTGAATTTGTAGCCAAAAATCAAATAAGGTATCGTGTAAACAATCCGAAGTTAATATATATATCCGTTAATATATCCAATAATATTAACCTGTATTGATAAATATATACATTTGCGCATGTACATATGTAATTATGAAACAGAACATTAAATGATACTCTAATGAAAGTAAACCGTGATTGTATTGTTACTATGGCCATCGATATTGAATAAATTGCGATAACCGTACATATCTTTTCATTATTAAATTTAACTTCAAGGTATATTAAGAATCAACATTATCCTCTATTCACCTTTCGAATCGTATTTTTCATTGTCCAAGACCATTTGCGAGGTCAAATAAAACTGCTATTTCGAGAGTTTTATCCCCGTTCCAGTCCTCTACTGTAACTTTTACGGCTCAATTCACGACTACGATCTCCTGCACATCTCGCCTAGTTATATATCTACACTGGTGAAAAAGCGCGAAAAATCTCACAACTGACATATACAGCAAGTATAAAAACTTGAACCGGCCATCGTTAAAGATATAATCAGTCCACTTCCGATATATATTTTAACTATGTTTACGTAACGCTTCCCAACCTGCACGTAGACGATCAATATTTGTGTGTTTGTGTGTATGCGTGCGTATGTGTGTATTTGCTACTATCACAATAATACTATTTATTTTTTAATAATGGTTAATCATAATAGTAAATCAATAATTTTTAATATTTTTACTCTAACGAGTAATGAAAATATACAAATTGTATTTTAGATATAGTCAAAATTTTATTACAAATCTGTGGAAAAAGAATTCATCGATATAGTTTGAAAAATATCCAAGGAAAACAAAATAAAGCTCTGAGGAAGGATAAAGGACAAAATCCAGCACAGTTATTTGAATAAAAAGTTGGCATGATTGAAAAGATTTATTAAGATAATGACCAATTTTAAAGATTCAATTAGATAAATGTTTCTAATTTGAATATATCGGATACATAATTTTTTATTGCAAGCAAAAACTTATACTTTTGAGAATTTATTTTATAAGAAAAGTTTTAATAGTACATTTCAACTGATATTTGATAAATTATGCTTCTAATTTTAATACATAGTACATAATAATTATTATTTTCTATTGATTGTAGATACATAATGTTTTTCAATATTCTAATATTAATAATTAACTTACTTCACAATAGAAAATACAGTTTGTTAAAGTTATAATTATAAAATCTTAAATGAGATATAGAAATATGAGTTCATTATTATGTTAAAAGACATGCTTTATTAATTCAACATTTATATTTTAAAAGCTTTATGTTAATTAATTTAAAATTTCTTAGAAATAAATATGAAACATAATTCTAATATGAAATTAAAATAAAATTTTTTAATATATTTAACAATATAGATAGATATTTTTATATTACCCTTCGAATTAACTGTATATTTCTTAATACATTTGAATTCATTCACAGTCATTGGTAATGAAAAAAAAGGCATCGAATAGAGTTTAAAAAATTTATTTTCTCATAATCTCATAATCTCTATAATTTCTCATGATTTTATCGGCATCATTTATCCAAAATTTTCTGCTGTTTAAGGTCGTGATTTTTTTATTTTCCGCATTTTTGAATACAGATTCTTTTCATTCTACTTTCATATTTCTTATCATTAAAAAAAATTATAATTATATGCAGAAAACTTTTTCAACTATTTGAATTTTCTTTAAATCAATACATAAATAGATTATAAATAAGTGGAATAAACAAATAATTTAATTAATTATATTAATTTTTTCATCTTTTAAGTATTCAAAAATATTTTTTATCTTTAATAAAGAAATTAGTATATACATTTTTTTTATTATTTTATATATTTTCGTATTTACAAAATTTTTTCTCTTGTAAATAAACACTTAGTAATTTATACGTAAGAATTTTCAAAGAGGTGCAATGAAAAGTGAAAATAAGGATGTTGGGTTCTTTTATATATATCTTATTATTGTAATAAAAACACTGCAATTAATAAAAATAGTAAAATATATCTTTATCATAAAAATGTATCTTACGTGCTTTCTTCGATTTTCTATCTTCGGGATATTATGAAGTTCTATTATACAAAAACAGTTGAACCGAGTCCGAAACAATATTCAATAGCAAGATTTGAAATTTTCATTATCGAAGTTTTCATTATTTTAAAATATTTCATTTTCTTATTTCTAATACACTAAATTAAAACATATTAAATAGTGATATAATAATTATAATATTATAATATAATAATTTTATTATTATGTGATTATTAAGTATCTTACATTATTTAGTACATTGTACAACTTATCAAAATCAATTCTTAAACCTTGGGAAAAAAATCATCACCATAATAATTATTTCACAAAACTAACCTTAAATAATATGTAAATATAAAATAGAAAATTAATTTTTCTAAATTATTATATTTGAATGTTGCATTCGAAAAGTAATTAAACTAGAAAATATATAACCTATTATAATATTACTTTACTTGCGAATATTTTGAAAAATAATTTATTTTATGCATTCTAATAATTTAATAATTAATGCTATTAACTCGCGATTGAATACGTGTTTGAAAATTAAAAAATTAATGAATCATCTATGCATATTTTATTAAATAATTTAATTGAATGATCTAATTCATTGACTACGGAAACCATAAAGAAAGTTTAAATAAAAATGACTTGCTTGGTAAAGTGAATTATTTTTTTAGTACTTATAAGCTCATTCTCGCTAATAGAAAATTAACAATATTAACAATGAAATAGAAATTCACTTAGTATGTTCAGCTAAATCCGCATAATAAAATCGATCACTATTTAATGAACGATAATCGTGGCTTTATGTTCCAGGATCCAGAATTATGCATCTCGCTAGGCATGAGTCTGCAGTACCTCCGGATCTCGGTGGTCTGCTGGTTGGCAGCGATGTGTCATCACCTATACGCGACCGTCGCGTCAATTCCCAACCGCGACGACCCTCCGACTTACTTGAAATACAGTGTATTTGCCTGGGGCGCACCCCTTCTCAGCCTTGGTAGCGCCACGCTTCTACAGATGCACGAAACTAATAACATCTGGAAAGTCGATGATCTTATGCCCTTAAATTGCTGGTAACCTAGAGTCTTATAAACGATGGGTGTTGTAGTGTAACGCTCGAATGGAAATATGGCGAAATTTTTGGAAATATTTTTTAAAAAATTATAATTTCTAATAGTGCGAGAGTACTTCACAGAGTTATTTTACTTTTTTGGATAATAATGAGAAACAAAATCTTTTTTCAATTTATTACGGCACTTAAATGTTGTTAAAAATTAGTTTAATATGTATTTATCGATAAAAAATAAAAAATCAATTATTGCAGTTTTGGAAAAATACTTTTATTTTCATTTTCATTTTGCTATACAGCTTAAAACATTAAACAAAAAATATAACAGAAGCCATGATAATTACGACGCATTTATTTTCATATTTTTAATTTATTTTCATTTATACAAAACCTGTGCAAAACCCATTATATTTATTGATGCAATTACCTTGGCATTCGGGATAAATAATACGTATATGTATTTATACTCTTATAATAACGAGAAGTTGATTAAAATTTTAATGTATAGTTTCTTATTAATATTTTATAAAAATTATAAATTAATAATTATCTGTCTTTATTTTATATAAAATATATCCGCTAACTCGAAAAATCTTTAACTGTATTTTTATTACGAAGAGTGACAACTACACACAATTGTTCCTCGTCTCGTCAATTACTGTGCCCCTTTTCAACAAGCTTGCAATCTTAACTTCACGTGTTTTAAGCACATCAAAAGGTGAGATCTAAGATTGCTTCGCACTATTCAATAAAAAATAACTAACGTTGATTACTTTATAACTTTAGTATTTGTAACGAAAATATTTTATTGAAAAATGTTGAATAATATAATTTAATAATATAAATGGTAATAAATAATAATAATAATAATAATAATAAAGTAACAGTTACAATTAATTATTTAGGTAACCTATTTTTTGAAAAATCAGCAAAGATTAATTATGAGAAAATTCTTTATTTCAAGTAAATAATTATATTTTGGCAAGTATCTGTAAATACCTTGAAAATATATTTATATTTTAAAAAACATATGAAATACAAAAAACACTGTGCATAAAGTATACAGAACCCAATAAGTGAATTGTGTAACTGTTATAATCGTCAGTAATTGATCGAAGAATTCCTCTTTATTTTAATTAATATTTTAAGCTTTTTCTTTTAATTGTTACCAAAGATATGTAATATAAAAGAATAAAATAAAAATTAATTACTTCCAAAAAATATTATACAATATAATGTAGAGATCGTATCAAAATAAGTAAAAAAGAATCCTAGATTCTATAAAAAATGTTTAGCTATTTTTATATTGTAACATTTTAATGATTGTAAATTATCTTAATTAAATTAAATTAATATGAAAAATGATTAATATGAAAATAAAATGAAAATTAATATGAAACTACTGACATTTTAATTTTTAATAAAAAAAAGTTAATACTACCTATGCTTTCATGTAAAAATTTTGTGCAAAGTAATTTAACTGTGCATATCAAATTTTAAAATTTTAATAAAGAAAGTTCTAAAGCATAAATATCCAAATTATTTTTCTACGGTTATTTTTACAAAACATCAAAGGGCTGTATTCAAAAGATTGATTAAATTATTAAAAAGTATATTTATTATTCTAAATAGATAAAAAGCTCATATTATTTTGTATTAATGTACAGGATTTTCACAATTTCAAAGAGTATAATTAAAATTTTTTATTTTATATATTTATTTAATTATTCTTTTTTGTAAAATTAATATTACTTTGCCATAAATTAATTTAATATAGATTAATTTTAAAATTATTTTAAAATCAGTTCAGTATATAGTTTTTTTTATGATGTTAATTCTATTAATTACGATATAGAAAGTTATTAGCTGTAATATAAATTTCAAATTAATAAAATCATATTTGATTCATTCCATATTATTTTCAAAACTTCAATTACTAAAATAAGATTTACTTTATAATGAGAGACTTCTGTTACGCAATAACTTTTTGGTACAAAATTAAGCTTTTATTTCCAGTGAAACGAGTTATTTATTAATATGTGAAACTTAATAATTTATGAAATCCTGGATACATTCAATTTTAAAATATAAAAATATAAATATTATGAAATTATTAAAAAAATTTGTTTTTAATATTTTTCAGATTTGAAATAAAATTGTAATTAAATATACTTTGTATAATTCAACTTGTGTTGTGAATATATTCACATAGCAAGAATTTTAAACCACATTAGTCTGAATAACTTAATCAGATATTATTTTAAGCTGACCGCATTAATTAATTGAAATTGTCATTGTTCAAAGTAAGTAATTTAAAAAGAACCTTATCTAATACAAATAGAATAATAATTGTTTTAATAATACTAATTTTTCGCATATTAATAAATAAATATCATACGCATGTGTGCAGTTTTATATTTTATTTACGTAATTAATTGGATACATGATTGGAATATAGGTAGATCATAGTGGAAGAATATGTAATTTGACTGATTTTAACTTGACAATAATGAAAACGTGAACATGTGATTTCTCTATAACTGCATGATTTGTAAACAAGTTACTCAACCTATACATAATGCACCGCAAGTATGACGATGATTAGTAATAAGTTCGTATCTTATAAAATATCAAATCTATCATTCTGTAATTTATTTAAAAATATATTAATTTCCATTTTACTTCCAAAATCTATTTCATTCCCTTTTTTAGTAACTTCTTAAGATAATACCTGCATCTCTGTAATATCTAGTTTTCTTATACAATTTTTTACTTTTGTTATTTTTATTACTTATATATTATTATATAAGTAAGGTACTATATACTCCTAAGGTACTATATATACTCCTCATAAATTTTTCTTAATTGCCCATTTTTTATTACTTTTTATAAATTGGAGCATACAAAAATAAATACCAATATCATTTATACAATAGTCTTAATTATTTTTCAATAATAGTTTGATCATGAATAATAAAAGACACTTAGATATTATTATTAATTAATGTGATGATATTGATGTTTAATTATTATTTCTTTAACAAAAAATACGACATACATCAATTTTAAACATTTTCAGCCACTCTTTATAATTACAAATTTATAATTACAACTTTTTTCAAGTTTTATTATAACGTTAATAAATTTTTTATACAATAAACTTTATATAAGAAAATTATTTTGCTTCTTCAATGATTTGAAAATATTTTGTACATTAAAACATTTTACTGAAAATAGCTTTTTCATTTTCAAAAATACAAGAAAATAATTAATTGTCTAAGTTCATCAGTTATTATGGTAAATAGTTTAATCTTTGCTGTTACTCATTCATTAATTTTCTTAATAAATAAAATTGTTAAAATGAATAATTAAAGTCATTTATTAAGTCAAGAAATGTAAAAGTAATGAATACTAGATATTATATTTAATTTATATATTGATTTTTATAAATGAAAACCATATATAAATAAATAAATGTCAAAACTAATTTTAGCACAAATTTTCATATAAATAATAATATAGTAGTAATAATTAAAAAATTTTCAAGTATTATTACAAGAGTATTATACTACAATATAATATTATCATATGAAAAGATTATTGGTCGATCAGAGTAATACATTGATGAAATTCTCATAGAACCCAAAATAAATAGATTTTTAAAAATAAAATGTTACTTTATATTTTTACCTACAAACTTGTTTTGTAATGGAATTCGGGTAGCTATCGATAAATCCAATTTGAAACTTTTACCATTTTCGACGGAGACTCCTATTTCGAAGGAATTTGTCTTTCGATTCTCTTCTGTATTCGATAGGTTTCGTCTCTACTTTTCAATCTTTTGTCGTGTATAACTTCTAAAGATCGTACTTTTTTTAATCTTATTGAGAAGTTTCACTATATTCATACTTTTCATTCATTTTCTGTCTTCTATTTAGTTTTTTTAAGTTTATTTGACCTATGAATTACTATGTGGAAGATATCAACGGTACGAGTACAGGCAACAAATAAACGTAGCCGATATAAATTATGAATGTATATAATTCCGAGAAGATATTAATAAAAATATTAATATATAAAATAAATGTAAAGATTTAACGTATTATTAACTAACGTAATATAGAACTGATAAAAAATATATATAATTGCTAAAGCGACAAAATGTTATTACATTACTTTAGTATACTGAATTTAACTTCTATCTTACTTATATCTTATCCATATCGAATGCAATAAATAAATAATGTATAATAATAATTACAATCATTGAATGAATAATAGACAGATAAAGTATTCTAAAATGTTATAATTATTATTATATTCATATTTACTGTGCGATTTGCAGTATCATCAGTCCGATATTTTTATGGAAATTTTTTTAAATTTTTTACCAAGTTTCTGAACTTTAAGTGGAAACAAATAATCGAAATAATAGAAAAATGACTAAAAGCTTTTAAGATACATTACTAGTATTCATTTTTTCGCTTTATACTTCTTTACTCTTTTCAGATTTTATATTTGATTCCTGAAAAAAGTATCTTTACTATAACAGTACAAAAATTACACCTAACTGTTTGTGAATATTTCAACTGTAAACCCCGAAGAGAGAGGGAGAAGGAGAGGGAGAGGGAGAGAGAGAGAGAGAGAGAGAGAGAGAGAGAGAATGAGAGAATAATTCTAACGTAAACATTATAAAATATGTAACTTAATATGAACTTTAAATAAGTTTTAAAAAATTACTCGATTTAACTAATAACTTAAAAATGTTTTAACTAAAAATGTGTGCATTGATTTGGCCAAATTTTTAAATGTAATCTTGCTTATATTCACTAACTTAATGTATATTTTTACTGAATATATATTATCAAGCACAAATGTATAACGCATACTTTAAATTTAGATTTTTCTAACTTATTGATTCTAGTAAAATGAGAACATAGTTCAGACATTATTTCAAAATTGCAACATGAGAATATTTTAAAGGAAAAACTGTACGTTAAATAATAAAAATTAAATTTTTAAATTAAATATTTAACTATTCTTATAATAAATAAACATATATTTTTATATAAGTCTGTGAATTTAAAAATCACTAAATGAAAATACTCTTAGTATGATGAAACATTTACAATCAAAAAGCAAAATACAGAAAAATTTCAATCAACTAGTTGAAAAAGATTCTGATTGAATCTTGTTATACAATGTAAATGAATTTCTTTTCATACTCCTTTTAGTTTCATTAAATTAAGCAGTGCCTTGATTGACAAAAAGAAAATTAAATCAAATACTGCAGGAGATATTGATCAAATTTGGAAAGATTTTCTGTAAATTTAATAATTAAATACAATTAATAAAATTTGTAATCATAAAAAATATTCATTTAGATTTACTTATAGTAACATTATAGTTATTTTTAAATATATATACTTAAAAATCTTTATGAAATGACTATACTACTATAATAAATTTCCCTACCATTTTCTTCTACTCATACTTATTTATTAAATATATAAAAAAAATATTTCTTAATAAATACTTAATGTTTATTAATATAAAAGTATGAAACTAAATGTAATAAATTTTGAAATTAAACTCATAATGCAAAAATGTAAAACTTGTAAAAATAAAAATAACATTTATGTAAATAAATTTCCAATTTGACATAATAATAAATGTACAGAATAATACTGTACAAAATAAGTCACAATAAATTTTAAATTCATATAATAGAATCAGTATTTATTTTTCACAACTAAATATATTTATGAAACAAAGTTACAGTAATTTTTTATATAATAGAATATGCAAAACCGATATTGTACACTCGCATTCATATAAAAATTACGATATTATACTTATCAATGTGTTAAAAGCTCATACATACTATAATATTTAAAAGCAGTTATTCAAAGTACTAACGAATTTAAAAAAATGATAGAAAATATGTCATGTTTATTTTCCAAAGTAGCAATTGAAACTGCATTATTTAATGCCAATATTTGTAAAAATTGATATGTTCTCTGAATATCTGAAAATTTTCAGTTACCAATACACCTCATTCTCTTTATCATCGATAACAAGCAAAACTTCTTTATAAATGTAAATGGTGACTCAAAAGTAGTTTACTTTTAGCAATTTTACAATGATCATTAAAATTTAATGTACACATAAAAGAAAGTTTATATGAAAAATATTAATATAATAAACAAGTTAAAACTGAAATAATATATTCTTGTAATGCAAGTTTCAGAACATATAAACTTCTATATTGATAATAAGATTTAAAAATAACAACTTAATTAAGTATGAAAGATGAAAAATAGATATGTTTGTTTTTTCTAATTTTTTCAAAATTAGATATGTTTATAATAATTAATTGAATTATCATATAAAAAAATATTAATTATAAATAAAAAATACCATAATTATACCATTTTAATTAACGCAACAATACTTTTCAAACAGTATTTATACGGTACTGGTGATAAAATATATATTTACTGATAACTAAAATAAATCTCTCCTTTCAATAGTCTAATAAAAAAAAATAATTTAAGTCATATAAGCATACATTGGGCAGTACTTTCATAGTTAAATATTTACGCAAAATTTTTCCTTGGTTACTTAATTAATATATATTAATAGTACTTGAAAGCTGATGGAAATTGGCTTACGTGTTTTTGAAAAATGAATGGTACATAGTATAAACTAAGTAGTATTTCCTTTAATACTTTATATTACTATTTTTTAAATCAGTAGGCTCTTAATAATACTGAAACAAATATATTCAATTGATACACTAATATAAAATAAATAATTGCGAAAATGAAAACATAAAAAAGAAGATTTTGGATTTATGAATTATATTATGAAAATATTAATCTATAATAATAATAATAAATAATACAAATTAAATAAGCTAATTTAAATCTAAATGTCTTTAATTATAACAATATATTAAAAATCTTGAAGCTCAATCAAATATTCAAAAATACGTTTATTTTCAAAATAACTTAATTGATCAACAATTATTTTATGACAATCAATGAAAATAATAATTTACTATTATTGCTTATCATTGGATGAAATAATTAAGTGCGCGTTATTTTTATACTAAAATAAGTTCTAGTTATAACACCTAATTCATTTTATCTTTGCCTGAATAATAATATTTTTATATTGTACATTTAAGAATCTGCATGAAATATTGTCTTTTAGTCAAATAATAATATGAATAGTATAGCAAATAAAGATCATTTTTATTTAAAATATTTTAAATGAATATTTATATGAATAAAATAAACACATACTTCGTACGCAAGTGAACATTAAAATTGTATTTGAATATTAAACAAATTTGATTCGACATGATTCTTATATATATTTCAAGACTATAATTTTTAACTTAAATGAACACTTTTGTACCTCATAACCAAGTATCAACATTTATAAAATAACTAAATAATTATTATACGTATAAGTGAAAATTTGTGATAAATATGTTGGGACAACCATACACTTAATATGTTTTTATATTCCCATCATCTATTTCTTGTGCCAAAGAGCTTGTAAAATCACAAATCTTTTTATTTTCTGTCAGGTTCCTGGGGGCCAAGGCAACCGTATACGCTTTCGGTATACCAGTAATAATGTTGCTCTTCTCATCAGGCTATTATCTGCTTAAAGCAGCCATCGTAGCCAGGTAAGTAGCCACCAAAAGTTCTCGCTTCTTTATACCTCTCTCGGTCAAAGGCCATATACTCCTTTAACGTGTATTAGGCTTTGCCCAGACATCCGCTCCTCTCACCTGCATAATTCCAAACAAGCTCACCGAAATCCTTTAACATTTGTCCGAAAAACGAAAAATATAGATACACATGCAGTATGCAACTGGAAATAAAGCAGCGAGAGAAAATGAAGAGGAGGCGAGCGCTACAGCTTATGCTCTTCTTAAAAGTGAGCCTTATCATCGGGTTAGTGGCCGGATGTGGGGTTGCCTCGCGGGTTTGGAAGGTGCCGTTCTTGTGGGCAGTCTTCTGCACTGGACATTCGCTCCAGGTTAGCTTGCTCTCTAATTCAATATTATTATTATTCAGAATTAAGGGCTATACAAAGAAGGCTATTCTTGGATGTAGTTCAATAGTCAATCGCTGATTTCGCATAAATATTAATTTTTTAATTATCCGTTGACAATTAAAATTTACAAATGTAGAAATTAATAAGCTATAGATTTAAGGCCGCTCGGAAATTTATATAGATTTATATTTAACTACTATTTAATACAAATAATCTTTAAAATTTTTTTACTACCATTAAATGATTAAGTATAAATATGCATATATATGCTACACTATTTTATTCTTAATAGTAATTTTTTTAAATAAAAATCTTTGAAATTATAAATTTTAATTATATTAATGATGCTCTTTAAAATTAATGCATACACTTGGCTTTTCAATAATTTCTAATTCAAATTTTACTGACGATAAGTTAGCAACAATCACCACAAAAATATCTATGTGTCATTGAATAAATAAATTTTATACGTAACATATAAAACAAAGAAATTCTATAAACTAAGCCGATTGAACGAGATTTATCATTATATTGTGGATTGAATAATGATCATGACTTGTTCATCAATCAACACTCTATCATCCTTTCGCGAAAGTGTAAAAGCAATAATGAGTTCAGAGTAAATCATTCGACTAGCCACCAAGCCCGATCTAAACTATTTTTATCCATAATATTTGATCTTTACTTTTTGCAATAATTATTTTATGATGCAACTTCATTTAAAAATAATTTTATTATTTTGTATTTCCCTGTTTTGGGTATGTTAAAATAAATTATTTATGAATATCATCCTTCGCTTGTAAATCGCCATATTAAAGGAATATAGGTGTAACTCTAACGTATCTATTGGCCTACTGGAAAATTAGGATTTATCAATTAAAAATTATATTTTATTTATAAATTGTAATAGAATATTTATCAATCAAACTATTCGAAAACTAAATGTTAAACATTTTTAGAAATAAAATATTAATTGTTTATTAAAAATTATGAATTTTAATTGAATATAATTATTATTATAAATAAAAATCTTATAAATATTTTGCACAGTTTATTTCAGTGTGAAAATTCATTTTTTTATTATTTTTCATTATAATTAACGTAAATTACATTTCACATCGTCAGAATTATGTATTTATTTTTAATATTTCAAGTCATTGAAAAGACAATATACATAATACGATATATTTTCATTCACTAGATTTTTGAATTTCTTAAATATTAAATTTACCTCTACAGGGTCTTGCTGTTGCTTTATCAGTTGCCTGTAATTGCAGAGTATTGAAGATCTATTCTAGAAAATCCCATAAGCAACCAAAACATCAGGTAATTTTCATTTTAGTTTATTCTTTTTATTATATTAAAAAATTTTCTCTTGGACACTGAATATTTAAATAAAAATCTATAAACTATATTAAATAATTTATGAATACTTTTTATTTATGAATATTTATGAATATTTAAAATAGTATTAACATACTTTATGAAACATAATTTTTTAAATATAATATTTAAAATATTATATGGATATTATAATAATTATTTAAAATATCTGTATGAAATTGTTTTACAGATAGCAAAATCATCGAGTATGCAATTACTTGCTCCAGCACCTGATCCAGTTTAAATAACATCAGTGAATGAAAACACAAATTTTCAAACATCCACTCAGAAGAACAGTATAATAAGTTATTATTTTATGTAATTTATTTTCAGGAAACTATTCAATACTGTTTTAACAATCTTCTTATATATTCTTATATCCTGACTGCTAAACGAATTCTGTTCTTTAAACATTAATTCGTTAATCATATTACTAACTAAGAATATCTACGACATTATAAAAACTAATTATGTCTTTAAAATTAACATGGTTTAGAAAACCTTATGACAATTTTATACGATCCTGTAAAATTTACTCAACTATTTCATTCTTTTATTATTTTATTATCAGGCATATTTTCGTTTATACGTACATTTATACGCACATTTAGTGTATATTTTAAGTAAGAAAGACTAACAAAATCATATCAAAATAATGAACTCTGTTATTATTAGAATTTGATTATAAAAATATTTTATAATATTTTATTTGTAAAAAAACAGTTTATTAGTACTATATAGACGTGAAATGCTTTTATAAGATCAAATATTTTTTCCAAATAAGCAATGGGACACAATCAAGATATCAAACCTATTCAAGCAAATCACGTTATGTTAAACATTGTAAATAATGCTTGAATATTTCATCGAATATAAATTATTTAAATTGTTTGTTTAAATTAACAACAATAGAAATATATGCTTTCAAACAATATTATAAATTCGTAAAAATTACTAATAAACATTTCTACGTGAAAGAATAATTTTTTACAATGTTCCTATAAAGTTATAATGTAAGTATATAATAAATACTTACATTTGAACGATTAGGCAGTATTTTGAAAAGTTGCCATTTCAATAAACACTAAATACGTTGTTAAAAGAATTGTAATGCTACTCGTTAATTTTAAAAAATGTTAACTATTCAACTATTATGTCTGCAACATTATAATACATAAGATGATATTTATATAATATATATATGCTTATATATATATATATATATATATATATATATATATATATAATATATAGATATAATACATAAGATACGTCTTCAAATATTAATGTAATATTTTTTTTTATCTATTTAATATAAGATGTATAAAGTACACCTTCATTGATTTATATTAAAAATCTAAACACGACAAATGAGCAGTAAAAGATATTGCAATTTTAAATATTATTGAAAAAATAACAAGTAACTTTCATATTTAAGGAGCGTAATTATGTAAAATAAAGTAATATTAATAAGTGTTCGAGTGCAAGAACAGCAAAAAATAAATGATCGAACATGAATAAATTTATATTTTGTAGATTATATGTCTGATGGTTTTAATGATTTATTAAATTCAAAATGTTATCAATTTTCTAAATGAAAATGAAAGATAAAAGTATTGTATATAAACAAAGTATGTATCTTGGTAAACATATCAATAAACAGTATAATAAAATTTTTATAGTTTTTATTTTTAAATTCATTTACAATTAAATGTAATACAATAAAAATATTCTATTACACACTTTGTAAACAGATATGTATTCGAAATGTCATAAAATCACATTATAATTTCTGAATAAATCTTCTTGACCATATTTTTCATTTAGTAATATTACTCTTATAAGACTATACGAGTTTACATTATAACACCATATAGATTTCATGTTATTCATTTATAAATATTTTTAAAATAATTCATTTCTTGATGAATTAACATTAATCCTTATGATTTTTTATAAAAACAAATTATATAATATAAATACTTAAACTGTTGTTTATAAATTAATCTATAGTATTGCTTTTTAATGTCACATTATTATTAAAAAATAACTGTTTATTAAATCGAGTTAATTTGAAATTATTTTGAATGTTATGTTTTATCGTATTCAATATCTTATTTTATATGATTTATTGTTATATGAGATTAAGGAATAATTCATTTTTTAGAAAAAAGCCAATTATTTACCAATTATAGTCTTGTTAATTATTCAAATGACATCTCTTTACAGATAAAATTAATATAATTAAAATATATAATTTATTAAATATGTATAATTTAATATAATAAATTTAAATTCTATAATAAATCATGCTTTATTTGACTTAAAAACATATTTTTATTTCTACACAGCATTCTAGAGAACTCTATAATTTATTCTAAATACGTTATTGTATTATCATTTTTCTCATTTTATCATATTCTGCAAGTATTTTTTAATATTGGTAAAAATAAAAAAGTATAATGAGTAATCAACATTATATGAAATACAGTAAAAAATTATAAGTAACATAACTTTTCATGAATATCAATGATGTAAGAATAATAAAAACACATCAAATTTATGTATTTTTACACCTTTCTAAATGCATTCTTAGATAATCAGTTGATTTATATTGATAATCTATTAACACTTTCTCTATGATTATATATATATATATATATATATATATATATTTATAATATTTAAGACGTTATCTATTAATATATATTAATTATTAACTGTTAGTTTTAAATTACATTTGAGTTAGAAGGTTATCGATTTTATCTTTAAAAAAAATTACAGCTTTTATGCACAGAATAACAAATTTTTTTATAAAATATATATATAATATAGAAAAAATATATGTAAAATTAAAGAAATGCATAAAAACTTATTGTTTATTAAAGTTTCTGCGTTCTATCTCATCTATTTTTTCATTAGTGTCTGTTGGATATAGAAAGAAATAATAATGAAAGTAAATGTATAATTTAGATTTAAAAAATTTTTTATTAACTAAATGCACTTTATTAAATTCATTAAAAATATAAAATTTATAAATAAAAGTGTTAAAAGTCTATTGATAATATAAGTTTATAATGATAGTATAAGTTTATAATTACCTATAATGTAGATATCCGATTTTTGTTAAAATGATAATTATAAACATTCATTATAGGTTTTAATATCATACATGTACAAAATAAGTAATTCATAATAAATTTTTAGATTTAATTTTTAAAAACTCAAAATTCCTTTTTTTAAAAATATTGTAACTTCGAAATTCAGTGTAAATAATTAATTTAATATTGATAGAAATTCGTAAATCTTTTTTTCTCAATTTATGTAACATTAAAATTTTTAAAATACCAATTTACTTTGTAGAATACATTCATTTTTTAATGACTTATTCTTATAAATAAATGACAGGTAGTTAACAATTTAGTATTCTTATTTATTAATTATTATTTATTATTTATTATTTATTAATAAACTATTCAAACGTAAATTTAAATATGAATATAATGAATACAACTAAAAATACTTTATTAAGCTAAAAATTTATATTATTAATGAATTTGAAATTGATTACAAAAGTCCATATATAAATTGAAATATTACATTAAATATCTATGAGACTTGATTATTTTTAAAACCAACATTTTAGAAAGTTCTTTCTTAATACGTATGTTTAATTTAAATTAAATTTAGCTTCAATCTTTAATTCTTTAATATTTAAGAACATTATACTGAATTAAAAGTTCACCAATTTTATATTTCAAATCTCCAATTAAATTAGAAAAAATCTTTTAAATCATAAAAAATAACTACGAATATTAACATTTTCGATGAATGTATGTAAAATAAAAATATAATTATAATAATGTAGAATTAAATTAAATAATAAACAAATTTATAATAAATAAAATTAGAAAAATATATACAAAATGCAATTGAAATACTAATTGATATCTATCGAGCTACTTACATTAATTAATTTTGTTTTTGTTAATAAATTAATATATTTATTAAATTAACTATCTTTATTAAATAATTTATGAAAAACAATTGTCAATTATTATCTTTCAAAAATCAAGCAAAGCATCTGCTGGATGATATAGACTAATCTAAATAGTACTTCAATCTTGACAGTTTACAGATATCATCTATGTATATACTAAATATACATACTATTTGTTTGATCCTTTAGATTAATATAGTTCCATCATGGAATTAATTATGCAGCTTACAATGTATAACACTACTAAGCAAAATTAACTTTTAAACTAAATTAACTTTTTTCTATAGCATTAAACGTATCTCAAATTTTATTATCATTATTCAAATCGTTGTGAAAAATGAGATTTCTTCTCACCCAATCGAATCACATCAAATCATCTACCAGTTCGAAAAATCGCACATTTTTCTCGCACAATCTCTACTTTCCCCTTTAGAGCTCAATTCCTTTTCTGTCTTATCTAGAAATTACTCCGCTCACGTTTTTCATATCTCAATCATATAAACCTTCTGTATCCTTAATTTCTTATATATCGTAATTATTGTTTTATGTCAGTAAAAAGCCTTAGACCTCATCAATTTCAATGTTTAACATTAGCGTATAAAGCATTATAAAATTTCAGTAAATAAAGTTTGACTTTATAATTAAATACAAGTTTGGTTTTAAGTTGTAAATGTTTGGTTTTAAAATGTAAATTCTTCGATTATAATTTTAAAATTTAATTTTCTAAAATATTATTATTAGTATACAGAAGTACTATTAGAGATGAAAAAATATTTTGGTTAACTTTGTCATTGTATTTTGAGTATATGTGAAATTAATAAAAAGTGTGGATAATAAAAGATGTACATAATAGAAGAAAATTAAATTTGCAATAATATAAGTGTAATTATTAAATTATTTATATAATATATGTATACAAATAATACGTTTTTCAATAAAAATTATTATAAATAAAATAATAAAATTAAGTTAATTATATAATACCAATGAATATATTAACAATATTCCCCTTTATGTATTATGTAGTTATTGTAGTTAATGTAGTTGTGTAGTAGTTACTTGTTAAATTATTTTTATATTAAAATTTAAAGCAACTTGTTATAATTATTTTTAAAAATTGATAAACTTAATATTAGTTCACCAAATCAAATCATAGACAATATTTTAATATATAATCTTAGCTTTAATAGATATTCATAAGTTATATAAAAACGAATTTTGCTAAACACATTGTCAAATCTAATTAAGATTCGTAAAAATTATAATATAAAGAAAGGCTTCAATATGTTATATTACT